CGGACGACGGACAACGGGTGATCAGAAAAGCTCACTTGAGCTTTCAGCTCAGGTGAGCTAACAAGAGGCCCATGGGCCACATCGCTCACCTGAGCACATTGGCTAGGCAAAAGCACAAATCATTTCAGTATTGAAAAGATTACCTGGGGGTGGGGGGGGGGGGGGGAGGAGGGGGTGGCTTGAATTTTAAACTAACTGATGATGCTTCCATGTCAATATAACAAATGGCTTTATTATACTTGAGAAGATTTTAAAATAATTTTCCCATATATTCCTTTGTAAAAATTTGATCCTCCATTGTGGCTCCTCCCTATCCCAGGGGTCATCATTTGAACTTGAATCTACACTACATGAGGATGCTTCCATATCAATATGAATAAACATAGCTTTCCTGTACTTGAGAAGAAATATTTTTTCTATATGTTCTTATGTAAAACTTTTGATCCCCCAATGGGCCCCATCCAACCCCTGGGGGTCATCATTTGAACAAAACTGAATCTACACTACCTGAGGATGCTTCCATATCAAAATGACTAATCATGGTTTGCAGTTCTTCAGAAGAAGATATTTCCCTATATATTTCTACTTAAGACTTTGATCCTCCATTGTGGCCCCATCCTACCCACGGGGGTCATGATTTGAACAAAATAGAATCTACACTACCTGAAGATGCTTCCATATAAATATGATCAATCAGGGCTTTGCTGTTCCTGAGAAGAAGATTTTTAAAATTTTTCCTATACATTTCTATGTAAAACTTTGATCCTCCATTGTGGCCCCACCCTACCCCTGGGGGTCATGATTTGAATAAATTTGAATCTACACTACCTGTGGATGTTTCCATATAAATATGAACAATCTGGGCTTTGCTGTTCCTGAGAAGAAGATTTTTCCTATATATTTCTATGTACAACTTTGATAGTCCATTGCAGCCCTGCCCTACCCCCCGGTGGTCATGATTTGAACAAACTTGAATCTACACTACCTGAGGACGCTTCCATATATATATGACTCATCATGGCTTTGCTGTTCTTGAGAAGAAGATTTTTAAAGATTTTTCCTATATAAATTATTTCTATATAAAACTTTGATCCTCCATTGTGGCCCCGCCCTACCCCTGGGGGTCATGATTTGAACAAACTTGAATCTACACTACCTGAGGATGCTTCCATATAAATATGACTCATCATGACTTTGTTGTTCTTGAGAAGAAGATTTTTAAAGATTTTTCCTATATATTTCTATGTAAAACTTTGATCCTCCATTGTGGTCATGCCCTACCCCCGGGGGTCATGGTTTGAACAAACTTGAATCTACACTACCTGAGGATGCTTCCATATAAATATGACCCATCATGGCTTTGCTGTTCTTGAGAAGAAGATTTTTAAAGATTTTTCCTATATATTTCTATGTAAAACTTTGATCCTCCATTGTGGCCCTGCCCTACCCCCGGGGGTCATGATTTTAACAAACTTGAATCTACACTACCGGAAGATGCTTCCATATAAATATTACTCATCATGACTTTGCTGTTCTTGAGAAGAAGATTTTTAAAAATTTTTCCTATATATTTCTATGTAAAACTTTGATCCTCCATTGTGGTCACGCCCTACCCCCGGGGGTCATGGTTTGAAGAAACTTGAATCTACACTACCTGAGGATGCTTCCATATAAATATGACTCATCATGGCTTTGCTGTTCTTGAGAAGAAGATTTTTAAAGATTTTTCCTATATATTTCTATGTAAAACTTTTATCCTCCATTGTGGCCCCGCCCTAGCCCCGGGGGTCATGATTTGAACAAACTTGAATGTACACTACTTGAGGATGCTTCCACATGAGTTTCATCTTTCCTGGCCCTATGGTTCTTGAGAAGAAGATTTTTAAATATTGCCATTATTTTTTCACTAATTCCTAATTATCTCCCCTTGAAAGAGGGCGTGGCCCTTCATTTGAACAAACTTGAATCCCTTTTACCCAAGGATACTTTGTGGCAAGTTTGGTTGAAATTGGCCCAGTGGTTCTTGAGAAGATGTCGAAAATGTGAAAAGTTTACAGACAGACAGACAGACAGACAGACAAACAGACGGACAGACAGACAGACGGACAGACAGACGGACGCCGGACAAAATGTGATCAGAAAAGCTCACTTGAGCTTTCAGCTCAGGTGAGCTAAAAATGAATTGAATAATTATGGGACACATGTCCAGTGTAGCAGAGTGCTTGCTAAGAAAAATGATGTGCAACATATAGGTGTCACTGTGATGCTTAGTATATACAGAGTGTAAATGTGAAACTAAAACATGTGGTCTGCTGCAGAGGAAATTCAGCTGAAAAGCAGGTAGGGTTCAGAAGAAGGTCTGTATCTCTGAGGGAAGGTGAATGTCCCCAGATCAATTAGTGAATTTTTAGAAGGGCATGCATTGATCTACAGGATGTGGGGTGTTTTACACCCCTCGCTCGGGCCTGGGTTGGGGCTGTATAGGTGCGGGTTAGGTCCAGTTCTTGAAAAATGAAGCCAAAATCGGGGGGTCGGGGGGAGTGCATTTTTGGTACACATGCACTTTAATATGTAGATTACGTTATATGTTGACATATTTTTTAAGCTATGGGTATATGAAATTCAATTAATTAGCCTTCAAGAAACTGTCCCCACTTATCTTGTTTTCATTGACATCATGTATATACCTACACCCTCGGCACACGTTTGGCATTAAAAAAACTATCCCCTGCCACCCTAGGGAAAAATTTCTGGATCCACACAACAAAAAAATACAATCCGGCTCGGGCTGTCGACTTGAATATAAGCGATAATGCTTAAATTTTAAAGAAAATCGATATCATTTGAGTGTTTTAATGCAGGGAGAAAATACTTTTGTGATATTGGGATGAGATGGAGGTGCTGGCGCGCCGAATACAATTAGCCCTCTAATAAACCCCAGGGTTCTCCATGGGCCGTTTAACGTGGCAGCCACGCCACAATTACATTCCTTAGCGCCACAGTTAAAAAATCAGCGCCATAGTTCCCCCACAGTTAAAATATTAGCGCCACAGTAAGATGGTCGTCGTCAGTAAGATAAATTTATAAACCAAACGAACCTCCAAATTATGTACCGTTTTTCAGTTTCTAATGCTAAACCATTAATTTACTCTAATTAGGTGCCATTGTTTGGCTTGCACAAACAATTATCTTCTAGACCTCGCTGGACACTTGAATGAAAAGAGACAAGCCATTTTTTCCACATATTTCACGTTAATTGCAAACGAATTATTTTAAATTAATTAATTCATGTTTTAATAGTTCTACAGATAACCACGTCTCCAAAATTGCATTGGCACTGCGTGTCAAACATCGCACATATATCGTAATCATGCATTTTTGCAATGTTGAAAAATTAACGATAGATCAACCAAAATATGATTTTATGACTCTAAACTGCTTATCATAAGTATTTTATTTTAATTCACAAATTTTAATTAAGATATTTCAGTCTTCAGACGGAAAATTGCAAATTTATATAGATGTTAGCGTGATTGTTGACTTACCAGAATTTCCTCTGTCCTCTAATGAACACTATATAATTTACCTTTTGTAATTCTTTTAAAGAGGGTTTAATGCTTAAAACTTGTTGTTACTGGTACTTTTATTTTCAGATTTTATAAGCTAATATTTGTTTATTTATAAGTACATATGTGTTTGGGGGGGGGGGGGGGTCTTTTTCACAGTATGCGCATATTTTGGGAACATCCTAATTTTTGTTTTACACTATGTTTATTAATCGATTTCGTTTAATTACTTTTATTATTAAATTTAACAATCAATTTGCCAAGTAATAAATATCATTTGTATATTAAACTTTTGATTCATTGGGATTGTGTGTTTTTCAATTTATTTCGTGGTAACTTCACGAATTTGGTCGCGAAATGAAAGTGAATATTAGCACTTCGCGTACGTCTTGCGCCACAGTTAAATTTGAAATGATGAAGAACCCTGAAACCCATTTTCCACTAAATATGCTTTACTGTCAACTTTAAAAACAAATTATCAATCAAAAAGTCATTCAATAAAGTAAATGATTCAAACGTGTTGAAGATAATTTTACAGAAAACATTATTTTAGAAAAATATAACTTTTCCATGAACTTTGAAAATTGAGAAATATGTTGTCCCAGAACAGGGTATTGTCCTCGCATGAAAGGCTACACTTACCTATGACATAGGTATGAATATGCACATTGGCAGAGACACATTAAACCAGTCTGATCTTATATGTCTCTGACTGCAGCAAACTGCGAGTTTTTGTACATCCTGGAAATTGCTCATTTAAGAAATGTGATTTAGTTCCTAAATAAAGCTATTTCAATTTGGTAAATAAAGCTATGTGGGAAATTCAAGCTACGTAGCACGGGCACTGGAAGTTCAAATGTAAATATATAGATTATGGTATGTGCATGTATAAAAATCCTTTTTTACACATGCACATACTATAGATAGTTTTCGATGGACACAATTTTAGCAAGAGTTATTTCCCGTTGGTCGCCATATTGGATACAAGTCCAATTACCTTCATTATTCAACCAATTTAACTTGTCTCACTGGGCAATTGGGTGAAGATAACACAATTTTTCCTACGAATTTATGTTAACACAAGCTTCCTTTAATTCATGATTTTGGTATTTTAAAGATTTTTGCCCTTATATTTCTGCCATACAAGTTTAAAATTGACTGCTCAGAGGAAAATTCGCTAGTAAACCTCCGATATGGCGGCCAACGGGAAATAACTCTTACTAAATTCAGGCCTATCGAAAACAATCTATATATTTACATTAACTTCCAGTACCCGTGCTACGTAGCTATAGTATATGCAGTTTTTGCACTGGATCTGCTTTAACAGATCCATGTATGATCAGGGACATATAAAATAAATAACATTTATCTCATCGCCCCGTGTAAAATTTAAAAAATATATACTTTTATTATTAATTAGATTCATACACTTACAGTTATGTTTGCATTATCCAAGACCATTTACAAAGCTGTTACTATATATTATTCCATCAGTCGGCTCAGATACACTCATGTAATCAGTGGTAATCGTCAGAGATGTGCCGAGTGCGTACAAAACTAGACTGGTACCCTGATATTGGCAATTGGAATCAAGGGCAGAGAACCAGTACTAGCGCGGTAACGGGTGGGTTCGCCCCGATTACACGTTCGCTCTCAGTGGTTTCGCGTCAAGCGGTTCGTCTACTCGCAAAAAACAACTTAGGTCGCGGGTTAGTTAGAATAATCTGTAACGTGTTTATCTGAACATATCTTAACCAGGGTTCTTTATAAGGGATATCTAATTTTCCTTGTTCTCTGTCTGAGTAAAAATGATTAGACAATAATTTTCCTATCACTCTTCCTTAGTATAATGATTCTATATATAATTAAGAGTCAATTTAAATATCAGAGGTTTTACCGGGTGCTACAGTATTTTTAAAGGACTAAATGTGACTGGGTAACCCTTCACCGCGTATTCTTGGTATAAGGGTTCCTATTAATATAGTGAATCAGGCGCCTCGATCTAATAAGATCTACTACCTCCTGAAACACAAATTAATTCCCCAAATACCACTACCGCTGGTGAGCTAATTCAAATTCTACCCTAGCCTTACTTCTTCAGCTATTACGTATACCTCTCGTCTTTCAACCGCACTCAGCAGACTTCACAACAATTCTCCTTCAGCTGCCCGCTGCACTGACTTATATACCCTTAGAACAATCTATTTCCAAAGGGGTGTCAGGTTATTCCATTTCATGGGGGTGTTCTATTACGTTTCTACTACGTTTCACTACCCACGCCTCTGATATCGTGGTCCGCACATCAATCAATAAGAATCATATAATAATTTTTTTTTTAATTATTTATTTATTAACAGGTTATATTTAAAGTAACTATCTGTTACAACCTGCACAATAAACATGCAAGTCCAGACCAGACCAAACAAACATCTGTATGTCATTGTGAAAAGTGCAAAAATCAATTAGTTAATCATTCCAGATGTCCTCCTCCAAACGCTCTACTATCTCACCATCCTTCTGAAATTTTCTTGTGACCCTGATTATTTTCTGATGACTGTTTCCTACCTTAGCTGCTGCATCAGTTTGCGTTTCAGCATCGACTTTCTTTGCTTTCTTCTTACAGCAAAAACAGTGTTGGTAATCCAAAGGCGCCTTTTGGACATTGGAAACACTGTCGCTAGATTCCACTACCTCTTCAGTTGTAGACAAGTCTGTGGTCACGGTTTCTGAGACACTAGTATTTCTTCGCTTAATCCCTGGTAAAACTGGAGACGTCTTCTTTCGATACGTTCTTCCGGCTTCTATGTCCACTTCTTCAAACAAAAGTTCACCAGGATCCTCCTGCCAATCTTCCTCATCATCAGCTCGTCTTGAAGGAGACTTCTCACATGATTGTTCCAAGGAGGTTTCATTCTTGTCAGTCGTTCCTTGACTTGGGTGTAATCTCTTCACATGTCACACTAACACTATCTTCTTGCTAAAAGCTTGATCGCAGTGATCACACTCAAATTTTCTCTTGTTGATATCTTCCATACCACAATTCAATAGATGTTTACTCCACTCGTCTTTGGTTGGTAAGCGAATAAGGCAAATGGAGCACAAAAATCCGGGTTTTCTTGGTGTAACTTTGGTCAACGGCATTCTGTCATACGATCTGAAATAAATACAATAATCACATTAAACTTTGTATTTAAATTCATATTCAGAATGCCAAGCAGGCCTTCTTCTTTGTCTGTGACCTGAGTAAGCTAATTCTAGTTCATTCAATTCTGAGTTTCCTAACAATTCCGTCTGAGATTCATCGCCGTCAATTTCAACATCAGTACCCTGATCCTGATCCTTTGAAACTATATTCTCATTTTCTTCTCTAAGGACCTGAGTCCCATAGGGTCTCAACCTATCAACATGTACAATAATAGTTTTTGTTTCTTTTTCTTTTCTTATTTTGAAAGTAACATCAGAATGTTGATTTACAATGATGTAAGGACCATACCAGAAACTCATAAGTTTAGCCGATTTCCCTATCCCTCTCTGTGGGAAATATACTTACACTTTATCACCTTCTTCAAAATTCTTTTTCACCACATTCTGATCGTGGTATCTCTTTTGACGTAAAATAGATTGCTCTGTGATTTTGCGTGTGTTTGCATGAGCTTCTTCCAAGGTTTTTCGTAGTTCCCACACCCAATCATGTACATTGGTAGGCTTTAATCTGTTTGGAAGTTCATACATGATATCAATTGGGGTAGCTGTCTCTCTTCCCATCATTAACATATTCGGAGTATAACCCGTGCTTTCATGCAGAGAGGATCGGTAGGCCATAAGAACATATGGTAATTTCTTGTCCCAATCTTGCTGGTAGTCAGAGACATATGCGCTCAACATAGTGGCTAAGGTTTTGTTAAATCTTTCCACCATGCCGTCTGACTTTGGATGGAAAGCTGTTGTTCGAGTCTTTCTGATACCAAGTAGATCACACATATCTTTGAAAAGCCGACTCTCATACTGCCTGCCTTGGTCACTATGAATAATTTCAGGTACACCATACCTGCAGAAAAATTGTTCTACTAGAACTTCTGCCACGGTTTGTGACTCCATATTTTTCAGAGGATATGCCTCCGTCCACTTGGTAAAGTAATCAGATATTACAATAATATACTTATTGCCAGATTCAGTCTCTGGAAGGGTTTCTTTGTTTTCCCCAGGCATAACATTATTAACAATACCTTCCTTTTCAGGCATGATTATTTCTCTTACTGTCAAACCTATCACTGTGTTCTTGAAGATTGTCTGGGACTGACTAGATATGTTCATCAGTCTAACGGCCACTTTCTCAGATGAATTGACAAGAGATCTAGCTACCAAGGCTCTTCCACTATTCTGAAACTTAGTATAGGGTTCAATCAACAATGGTATCTGTGGTAATTTTGGTAGGTCCAACACTTGACCCGGACATACCATTTCGCTTCTGGGAGGAATGGATATGGTTTCACACAGACTCACGCGAAAGCAACCGATATTTCCTTGTAGTTCTAATTCGTGTTCTACCCCATGAACATACATCTTGTTCTTACATACATCGACAAGACATTGGTTTGCTTGTAAGAAATCTAATCCTATAATGCCATCTGCTTTGATGTTTGCTATTACTGCCTGAGTCGTAAATTCTTGAGAACCAAGTCTAATGTAGAATAATCCTTTCCCTTGTACAGTAAGAGGTGCACCATCAGGACCCACAATTCTCTGTGTAACTGGTGAAAGTCCAATTTTCCCGGTTTTGTCTATTTTAGCATACAGTTGATCTGATAGAATAGTCAGAGTGGCCCCAGTATCTAATAGTAAGTTACACTGAGTACCATTTACCATCGCCTTAATAAACAACCCAGATTCCTGGATGTCTTGGTCAGCTTTCAGTGATGTTGTGCTAGAAACTATCGAACCATTTTTCTTCTGGGAATCTGTATTTTCTTTTAGACTGGTTGAATTCTTCAACTCTGATTTTTGCATCTTAGTTTCATTCTGATTGTTTTTCACAAAACAGTCTTTGATCATATGGCCTTTTCTTCCGCAATTGTGGCATTTGAAAGGAAATTTGCCTTGCTTACTTAAATAACTTGAAGTGGTTGACGTTTCTTTTGTCGAGACATTAGAAATTTTCTTTTCTAAATCTTTAAGAGAAGCCTGTATTTCATCTCTCAATTGTCTTAGTTCTTCCCGGACACTCGAGTCTTGTTGAGCATCAGGTGTCACTTGGTTATTGCTTGTGTTCCTGACATATCCACCATCTCCTCTTCTCTGGCGTTCTGCTCTACAGAAGGCCTCTATTTCCACGGCGAAGCGTACAGCATCATTTAATGACTTTGGTCGTGATTGCTGTATGCGAAGACGCATGTCAAAATCAGCCAATGCGTCTACAAACTGATCTTTGGCTATAATCTCAGTAACTTCTCTGGGAGCCGTTGGATAGGCGAGATGTGCCAATCGTCGAATGCTTTCACCAAGTTCTGGCAAAGATTCACTTGGTTTTTGACGTTTTTCTCTAAGCATAGCTCGATAGAGTTCAGTTTGATTTGCAGGTGCGAATCTTGACTCTAATGCGTCACACAGCTCCAAATAGGTTTTATTTGCACCTGGTCGCATATTGCCAAGGACAGTTTGAGCCTGTCCTCTTAAAGAGGCTGCAAGGTACAAACTTTTCTGTTGTAAGTTCCAGGAGTTGATATCGCTACATGCTTCAAAATGGGCCTTATAATCTATCCAAGACCCAGATCCATCATACGTTGCAGGTTTCATTACTGTTTTGCCGTATGAATACTCCTTGGGCCGTGCACTTGGATCATTCTTACTCAAATCAAGAGTAGGTAAATGTCTGTATACTGGTTCCTGCACTGGATTCTGGTTGTTTGACCAAGTAACTGTAGAGGAAGCTGATGAAGATACCGCACACCTAGTGTTCAAGGAAGGACTTGGTGTCAAATGTGTCTCGGTAAAAACTGGTTGTCTTATTGTACCAAATCGCGACAGCTTATTTTCTGTATCCCTCTGTAAAGTTCGATCTACGATCTGTTTATCTTCATACAGTGTATAACCAGGCTCTGGATATCTCATGTGTCCAAATGCATGTCCCGTGCTACTTGGTGTTCTGTAATTTAATTCATCTAAACTGTTGTCTGGGTTTTTATACCTAACATCTACTCCGGAATCTGGTACCACTGAAGACTTGGTAGTCTGCGGAGTAGATCGTAATTTTTCTATTTCTTCTCTGAGCTTTTCCCTTCTGGCATCTATAGCACTGAGGTCAGCTAACAATTCGTCCCCTCTATTACACATTCTTATATTATTTGTTACCCGGTTTTCTGTATTCTATAACTGGACTAGGTATATGTACTTGGTAAACTTTACCAAGTAAAACACAATACCAAGACTATTGTAAGCCTAGCTTTATACCCGGTAAAATATACACAGTCTCTAAACTTGGTAAAAATAAAATGCACAACAATACTACAATACTAATTTCCCTACAGAATCAAATTGAATCAGTAT